CCCAGGTATTTTATTTTCTTTGTTTCTGTTGTGAAGGATATCGAGTCTTTGATTTGGTTCTGAGTTTGACTGTTGTTGGCATAAGGGAATGCTACTGATTTCTGTACATTGATTTTGTAACCTGAGACTTTGATGAATTTGTTTATCAATTCCAATAGTCACATGGAAGAATCTTTGGGGTTTTCTAGAGATAAGTCCATATCATCAGCACAGAGTGATAGTTTGACCTCTTCTGCCCCCATTTAGATGCTCTTGATGTCCTTCTCTTGTCTGAGTGCTCTGGCTAGGATTTCCAGCACTATGTTGAATAGAAGTGGGGATGTGAGCAATCTTGTCTGGTTCCAGTTCTTAGTGGGAATGCTTTCAGTTTCTCCCCATTCAGTATGCTGTTGGCTGTGGGTTTGTCATATATGGCTTATATCATTTTTAGGTAAGTCCTGTCTATGCCTATTTTGTTAAGTCTTATCATAAAAGGGTACTGAATTTTTTCAAATGCTTTTTCTGAATCTAGTGAGAGAATCACATGGTCTTTCTTTTTGCTTCTATTTATGTGGTGAATTACATTTATAGATTTGCATATGTTGAACTATCCCTGCATCTCTGGAATGAAACCCATTTGGTAGTGATAGATCGTAGTGATGGACTATTTTTTTGTTAAGTACCTGAATTTGGTTTGCTAGGATTTTGTTGAGAATTTTTTGGCATCTATATTCATAAGGGATATTGGTCTGTAGTTTTCTTTTTTTGTTGCATCCTTTCATGGTTTTGGTATCAGGGTGATGTTGGCTTCATAAAACAGAATGGGGAGGATGCCTTCCTTCTCAATGTTGTGGAATAATTTCTGCAGGATAGGCACCAATTGTTCTTTGTAGGTCTGGTAAATTTCAGGTGGGAAATCATATGGGCTGGGACTTTTCTTTTTAGGAAGGTTTTTTATTACTGCTTTAATTTCAGTACTTGATATTGCTCTGTTCAGGAATTCTATTTCTTCATGACTGAGCCTAGGGAGACATTGTGTTTATAAGAATTTGTCCATTTCTTCCACGTTTTCAAGTTTATGTGCATAGAGGTTTTTATAGTATTCATACATGATATTTTGTATTTCCATGGTATCAGTTGTAATTTCTCCTTTTTCATTCCTGATGGAGTTTATTAGAGTCATTTCCTTTCTCCTTATTATTAATCTAGCAAAAATTGTGTCAATTTTATTTTTTCAAAGAACCAACTTTTTGTTTCCTTAATCTTCCATATAGTGTTTTTGTTATTGATTTCATTTAATTCTGCTCTGATCTTTGTTGTTTTTTTTTTTCTTCTGCTTGGTTTGGGGTTGGTTTGCTCCTCCATTTCCAGTTCTTTGAGATGAGTCATTAAATTGTTGATTTGTGATCTTTCTGTCTTTTGGATGTAGGCATTATGGCTATAAATTTTCCTCTCAGGACTGCTTTTGCTGCATCCCACAGATTTTGACAATTTGTGTCTCCTTTAACATTTAGTTCAAAGAATATTTTGATTTCCATGTTAATTTCCTCTTTAACGTAATAATTCAGCAGAAGTTTGTTTAGTTCTCATGACTTTGTGTAGGCATGAGAGTTGCTGTTGGAGTTGAATTCTAATTTTATTCCACTGTGATCTGAGAAGATACATGGTATAATTTCTATTTTTTTAACTTTTTGAGACATGCTTTGTGGCCCAAGATATGGGCAATCTTAGAGAATGTCCCATGAGCTGATGAGAAAAATGTATATTCAGTGATTTGGCAGAAGAATGTTCTGTAAATGTCAGTTGGGCCCACTTTTTCTAGAGTTCTGTTTAAGTCCATTATTTCTTTGTTTATTTTATGTTTGGAGAATCTGTCCTGCTTTGTCAGATGAGTGTTGAAGTCCCTGGCTATTAGGGTGTTGCTGTTTATCATTTTGTTTAGACCAAGTAGGATTTGCTTTATAAATCTGGGAACACCTGAGTTAGGTGCATGAATATTTAGAATTGTTATGTCTTCTTGTTGAATTGTACCCCTCAACATTACATAGCGACACTCTTTGTCTTTCATTAATTTGTTGATTTGCAGACTAAGTTATTGAATATCACAACTGCCATGCCTGCTTTCTTCTGGCTTCTGTTTCCTTGAAATATTGTTTTCCATCCCTTCACCTTGAGTCTGCATGCACCTTGTGGGTTAGATGTGTTTCCTGGAAACAGTAGATACTTGGTTTGTGTATATTTATCCATTCAGCCAGCCTATGTCTCTTTAGTGGGCAATTCAAGCCATTCACATTTATTGAAATAATTGATAAGGGGCAGATTTCTGCTCATCCTCTTGAGTGGAATTTTGTTGCTTTGTTTTCTCTCTTGAGCCATTGTGGTGTCTGGCCTTTGGTCTTTAGCTTTTGGATGATTTTACACTGGTGAGTGTTTATTGTGCTGATCCATGTGTAGCACTGTTTTGAGTACTTCCTGGAAGACACGTCTTGTCTTGATGAATTCTCTCAGTCTTCACTTGTCTGATGTCTTAATTTCTCCTTAGTGTACAAAATTTAGTTTTGCAGGGTACAAGATTCTAGGCTGGGCATTATTCTGTTTGAGAAGAGTGAGCATGGGCCCCCAGTCTCTTCTCGCTTGTAAGGCCTCAGTTGAGAAGTCTGCCATTATTCTGGTGGGGTTTCCTTTGTAGGTTACCTGCTTCTTTCACCTTACAGCTTATAGTAGGGTTTCTTCATGTTTATTTGGGCCAGTCTAAAGACTATGTGTCGTGATGTCTTCCTGTTTCCAAAGGACTCCCAGGAGTCCTTTGAGCTTCTTGTACCTAGATATCTAAATTTTTAGCAAGACCTGGGATATTTTCCTTCATTATATCCTCAAATAGCTTATCCAACCCCTGTGTGTTTTCTTCTTCACCCTCAGGGATGCCTATAATTCTCATGTTAGGCCTCTTCACATAATCCCACATTAATTGTAGGTTTTGCTTGTCTCTTATTTCTCTGCTCTATCTCTGCAACTGACTTACTTAATTGAAAGGTGTCATCTTCAATCCCTGAGAGTCTTTCTTCTGTTTGATCTACCTTATTCTTGAGGCTTTCCAATGTGTTTTGTAATGCATTGAATAAATTCTCTTTTGTTTGTTTGTTTGTTTGTTCCTTTTATTTATTATTTTTTATTTCGGCATATTATGGGGGTACAGATTTTAAGGTTTCAATAAATGCCCATTTCCCCCCCTCCCCCCACAAGTCTGAGTTTCCAGCATGACCATCGCCCAGATGGGTAACTTCACTCATTATGTATGTATATGTCTGCCCCACTGCCCCCTGCCCAATACCCTATTACTGTAATACCTATGTGTCCACTTAGGTGCTGCTCAGTTAATAACAGTTTGCTGGTGAGAATGGGTGGTGCTTGTTTTTCCATTCTTGGGATACTTCATTTAGTATTATGGGTTCCAGCTCTAACCAGGAAAATATAAGATGTGCTATATCACCGTTGTTTCTCAGAGCTGAATAGTACTCCATGGTATACATATACCCCATTTTATTAATCCATTCTTGGATTGATGGGCACTAGGGCTGTTTCCACAGCCTTGCAATTATGAATTGTGCTGCTATAAACATTCGAGTGCAGGTGTCTTTTTTGTAGAGTGTCA